TTGACTTAAAACGCTTCAGATTCAAAGACTGCAATTTTCGATACAGATTACATCTCAATATCAAGAAAACAAAAATCCTCACCACTTGGCCAACAGGCAATATCATGAAAGATGGAGCACATTGACCTGAGACTTTTTACAAATAGTCTATTAATTTTAGCAGGATGAATAATAAGAAACATCATCTTACATGGATCCAAAATCAGCACTCCTGTACCAGCATCTGAGAAATCAAAAGACATGTTAAATATAGGGAAAATCTTCTATTAAGGACTTCTCTGAAGTGCAAAGGAGAAATTGTCAGTTTAAAGAGCATGGTGCAACTACTTCAAACCATGGTCTTTTTAAGAATCATCAACAACCTGTGTTATGTAGATGGCACAACATTGCTTGCTGAAACTAAGGAGGGCCTGAAACATTTGTTGCAGAAAGTCAAGAACTGTAGTTTGCAATATGGATTGAAGCTCACCATCAAGAAGACAAAGATTTTCACCATTTAGCTTATTGGCAGCACCATGATGGAAAAGAGATTGAGATTGTTAACAGTTTCATTCAGCTTGCTCAGTTCCAAAATAACACTCTTGGCACCAGCAGCCAGGAAATCAAAAGATGAATTGCATTAGGAAAATCTGCTGTCAGGGACCTCTCCAGAGTACTGAAGAGCAACAATGTCAGTCTAGAGACTAAAGTGCACCTGATGCAGACCATAGTCTTTGCAATTACTTGCTATGCATCAGAAAGCTGGACAATGACCAAAGGTGTCAGAAGACTTGGTATCTTTGAGTTGTGGTGCTAGAGAAGAATACTGAACATAACATGGGCTGTCAAGAGAACAAACAGGTCTGTCCTGGAGAGGGTGAAAGCAAGCTGCTCCTTGAAGGCAAGGATTCTGAAGCTTCGTCTCACATACTTTGAGTATGTTTCCAGCAGGGACCAGTCTTTGGAGAAGGGCATCATGCTTAGAAGGGTGGAGGGACAGCACAACAGAGGAAGACTCCAGATGAGATGGACTGTCACAGTAACAAGGGTAATGAGAGAAGGTGTGTCAGAGGCACTGAGATTAGCTCAGGATAGAATATGATTCAGAGCTGTTGTGCATTGTATCGCTATGGGTCAGAGTCAACTTGACAGCACATAACAAAAACATGCATCTGAAAGTTGGACAATGAGTAAGAATGACAGAAATTCAAAGATGCCTTTGAGTTGTGGTGTTGGAAAAGAGTATTGAATATCCCATGGACTCTCAAAAGAACAAATAAATCTTACACAAATCACAATCAGGGTGTTCCTTAGAGGCAAAAATAGTGGAACCGTCTCATGTACTTTGGGCATTTTGTTAGAAGGGACAAGTCCTTGTAAAAAGGCATCATACATTGAAAGGTGGAGAGTCAGCAGAAGTAAGGAAGACCCTCAACAAGATGGATTGACTGATTTGTAGCAATGGTCTCCAGTACATCAGAGATGATGATAATGGCACAGGATAGTACAGAGTGCAGACCTGCTGTTCACAGAGTTGTTATGAGCTGCAGTGAACTTGGTAACAATTATAGGGAGCTCTAATGTCCTAGTGATAAGGAGGACTGCTGGCTTAGCTGTAAGGGATTGAACTACCAACCTAATGGAATGATGTTCAAACCAACCAGCTACTCCACAGGAGGATGAGCAATTGCCTCCTGTGCAGTTTACTGCCTCTGAAAACCCACTAGAGGCTCAGCTACGGGTCAGTTCCAACTAGGTAATACACAACAATAACCTAATGGGTAAGAAGTTATGCCACCAACGCAAAGGCAGGAAGTTCAAATCCACCAGCTGCTCCTTGGAAGGAGGCAATTTCTGTGAGACTCCCATCCTCTAAAAACCTGGTGGAGAGTCAGCTATGAGTCAGTTCTAACTCCACAGCAATGAGGGTTTTGAGACATATTTACATTGTTTTCCTAAAGCTAAAAAGCAAAATAAACAAAATATTAAAAAATAATACCTTATAAAACAGTAAGACAATATTGAAACAAAATCTTATTTTTTAAAAACTAAACAAAACAAAGTCTCAATAGGTCCCCATTACCAGCTTTGTTCTCCAAAATAGAATTTTAATCAGGGTGAACTGGTTTGTAACACACAGAAGGGCACACAGTCAAGTGTCTTTTTTAGTATGTGCAATACTTAAATATCCTGGTCACTTTAAGAACTTCCACAGTGCCCTCTGCACTGTCAACTGCATAGATCTAGTCTCAAAAGTAATATTTAAAAGCCACTTCTCCCCACAGACCTTATTTTTCCTTCAGGAAGAGCAATGGGTCATGCTAAGCTACAACACTTTTTAAGTTTGCAGAGTCTCTAATTAGGAAAAACAATCTATCATGTAAAATTTACTTAACCCCTGGGTAACCACATCCAAAAATAAAGTTTAAGGTGCTTGAACATCCCGTTTGACTTTTGAGTCCTGATACCCACAAGTCCCTTTCCCACCTCAGTTATTCCAAATGACACACTTCCAGTAAAGTCTAATAAATTTCCTTTCAAATGTTTTATTCAAAGGGAAACTGTTGACTCAATCATCCTGACTAATGGTCTTTATGCCTCCTTTCCAGGTAAATGTCTATTATGTAGAAAATACACATGAACATATGATACATATTAGTAAAATACTTTCTTATATGTATCAGCAATCTAAAATGCCCTATATCCAGCAGTACTAAGAATATCCTGATTGATAGCTCTTAAGCTTCACTATGACCGATGATTTTTTTAAAGTGCTTGGATTTTCTATCACAGTCCTTTTCATAAGTTACTAAGCATTTCTGAAAGGTTGGTGGGTTTGAATTCACCCAAAATGGCTCCAAGGAAAGGAGACTGGGTAATTTGTTCCCATAAAGATTACAGCCTAGAAAACTCTATGGGGCAGTTCTACTCTGTCACATGAGGCTGGCATGAATTTAAAGGGACCTGACAGCAACTAACAACAACTGAATATGAATATTTATAAATCCTTAATTAAATAATTGCTTTTTGTAATCAAAGATCCTATCAATTTTTTAAAACTGCTTGTATTTGGATGTTCACCCAAAATCGGTTTAAAAACTTTTTACATTATCTAAGCAAAAAAGGGAGCTCTGGTGTTCTACTGGTAAGAAGCATATGGTTCGAATCCACTAGCTGCTCCGCAGGAGAATAATGAGTAATCTCTTCCCATTGCTTCTGAAAAACTGCTAGAGGGTCAGCTCTAGGTTGGTTCCAACTCGACAGTATACAACAAGAAGCAAGAAAGCCGTTCTTCAGGCAGAAACGGGCACCTGTATAAACTGAACACAACTCTTTCGACGTGAGGAGGGCAAATCTTGATCATGCCTACTATGGACACATGATCAGAGAAGACTAGTCACCAGAAGAGGACATAATGTATGGTAGAGGGTCATCAAACACGACGAAAATCCTCAGTTAGAAAATAGCTTCAACATGGGGCTCAAACATCACGGAAGTGGTGCAGGACTGTGGTGCGTTCCATTCTGGTGTACATCAGGTTAGTCAGAGCTGAGTTGGCAGCAAATAACGACAAAAAGTATCAACAAAAAGCTTTCAAAATAGGAAAGTGACTCCAAAGTGTAAATGAGTGCATTGATAGAAAGTGTCACTTTTTATGGAAAGGTTTTGCTTTATTTTGTAAAAAGTAATGTTTTTGAGAATACTTATTTTGCTTTGTCAAAATAATGCAAGTACATGATAAAAATTTGAGTAAAAAGTACCCTATTTTGTGAACTTATTTTTAACACACTGAAGGCATTTGTTCACTGAAGGTAGAAATATGTGGTCCAATTATAAACCATAAAATACAAGTGTAAACACAACTCAACAGCTATGAAAAAATAGAGGATTAATATTCTGCTTAAAAAATATTAAATTCAAGTTATGTGGAAACTTTATGCATAAAAAAACCACTGAGAAAATCTCAAAGTGACTCTTCCATGGTAATTTCTGAAAAAACAAATACTAACTTTAAAAAGTTAAACCTGAATGTTTCTTTCCCAAAATACTTTCAAAACTTGACAACTCAAAATATTTTAACACCTCGTGCCAAAGACATGAAGTTCTTATCCCGAGAAATCACCTTGTGGTATATAAATAAAACTAACGGAAAATCATCAAGATGAAATCCATCACCATCGAGCCAATTCCGACGGAGCCTGAGTGGGACAGAGATCAAAATATTCGGAGGCTCAGTCCACCAGCTGCTCCGCAGGAGGAAGGTGAGGCCTCTGCGGCCACAGAGGTTAGTGACCTTGGACGCCCCATGGGCAGTTTTACTTTGTCCTACAGGGTTCACAATGAGGAACGGAAAAGAGGAAAAAATAATAGTAGGAGTAAGAAACGTCAACCTAAAAAAGAAAGCAGTTCAACTGAGAATCAGAAAGAAGGAGTCTGAATTACTGTCGCTTTTTTTGCCGTCCTATCTTTTCATATTGTCTTTTGAGAACACGAGCCCTTCTGCAGGGAATCTCCCTGGGTCAACATTCTCTCCCTCATGGACACTGGGTCCACAGTCTCTTTGGGCTGTGTCAGGGAAGCACTGTATCATTCTCTCTTCTATTTCTCCAGTCAAGAAAAATCTATGCCCAAATTTCACTCCTGCTCCTGTGCTACAAAGAGGAACATTACAACATGCCTTGAGTCTATCAGTATTTCAGCAGCAAAGTAGACAATCTCTCTAGTGATCATTTCGCAGCAATGTGTTACCTCAATATTAATCATTAAAAAAAAATATTTTAAAACTGAAATTTAAACTATTCTAGTCAAATAATCATTTAAATTTTGGGAAAATGGACATATATGTAGCCTCAGCCACTTTAAACACTCCCTTCTGCCATTCCTACTTCACACAAGTCATTTTTCTCGTAATTATCCTAAGCATAAGTCTGAGTGTTCACCTTGATGGCATCAAGAAGCAGAGCCGCTTATTTGTTTCAAACACACCAGCAGCTAGGGGAGACAACCAACAGCTTCACTTATCAATTATTTCCGTCTTTCCCATTTTCGGTCCACACTCCCGTGGTGCTGGAAGCTCCAGCTGCGGGAAGCTCAGGGGAGTGGGTCTGGGTTCCAGTCGCAGCAGGGGGCTGAGAAGGCACAGTGGCACACAGTGGAGTCCGCTTCAGTTTGATCACTCGACTGGGCGTAGCCTTCTTGTCAGACAGAAGAACCTTTGCTGGAGGTGGGTATGCAGCCCCATTTTCAGTACCCTTGGCTCCACAGGACACTCGGGGCTCCTCGCAGGCTTTTGTGCCTGCAGTGGATGCAGCTCTTGAGGGTGAACCGCTGTGAGGCTGGTGTGCTATCACTCGAATGGAGGTCTGAGGAGCCCTAGCTGGAGACAGCCTAACTGAAGTCGAGTTCTTGACTTTGATCTGGGTGCTGGTGGAAGGGCCCAAAAATCTTACAGGCTTGGGACCAGTCTTACCGTCCACACCTCCTTCCTCTTCACTGAAGGATACCAGTCGCCTGGAAATACAGAGGCATGTCATTTCACCATGTAACAGTGGGAATAACTAAATGGAAACATCACAAAAGCTGCTCTTCACAATTAGCTAAAATGGTTTTTGTTGGTTTTTTTTAATTATTATACTAGTTTATTTACAAAATTGGAATATATTGTTTTCCAAAACATATTCTTCCAATTTCCCTCAAACCCCCCTCATCAAATTATACAACCCCATGCTTAGTTCCCCCCACTCCCTTGGATCCTTAACACTCATTCTATAATAATGGTTTTATATAATATTTGTCCTTGTGGGACTGAGTTAGTTCACCAAGCATAATGCTCTCCAGTCCCTCCCAAGTTAGGTAATAATTTACAAATTCACTGCTCCTGCATGCTGCGTAGTATTTCACTGTGTGAAAAAGATTAAAAATAGGAGAAAGATGGGCAATCTCCTCCTCTGAGATTTACTGCCTGTGAAAACCTGCTGGAGTGTCAGCTATCAGTGGGTTCTACTCAAGGGCACATAAAAACAACAAGGAGTTAAAAGGTTTGACAGGTATCAAATGAGCCCATTTCTTTCTCATCCTCAACAAAGGTCAATAGAAAAATTAGCTAGTTTAACTGAAGATTCATTTTGACTTGAATACATACTCAAAATCTCCTTAAAAATAATCTTCCCATCCTAAAAATCATACACAATGTTAATACCAAAATTTAGAGACTGTTACACAAGAATTATATTACATATCCCTCTATTCCCATGGGTCCTGTGATTCACAGGACAATCAGGAATTACACTTTGTCTTCCCACCATCAGTTTTTCTGGCCACAGCAGCAATTTGAAGAGATTTACTGGAGGAGGGGAGGAAATTCATGGCTGGTTCTGAGGAGGCTAGTGGTAAGAAAATGTTTAACTCTGTTGGATCCATTTCCACCCCCCCAATCTCTCTACAACTAACTACCTTTGACAATCAGTAAAATTAGCATTCTGTGGAAGACATTTTGGAAACTCGTAGAAGGACCAAATGCATGATGGGGTTGGATGCTTCTTGAATTTGAAAGTACTGGAGAAACTTTTCAACGATTCCTGAACTGAGTTTAACGCTCATTATAAAAAGCCTAAGGGTGAACATTTAAAGCTCAAAACTGTCAAACACTTCTGTCAAAAACCTTCTCATGCTTTCCACTGCTCCCACCAGTTCCACTTCATGAAAATCACCTCCTGAATGGAGGTACAGCATCAGTTCTCCACGTCTTCTCCCTCTCACACAGCACTGTTTTGACAACTCTGATTCAAGGAAATGGACTCCTACTCACCTAGCAGTTGAAAATTACTAAACGAAACATAAGGAGATCTGGTGGTGTAGTGGCTTAAAGACTAAGCTGCTAAATCAAAGGTTGGTGGTTTGAGCCCACTCCAGGAGTTCTGTAGGAGGAAATACTCCACAATCATCTCCCATACAGGTAAAAGGCTTAGAAAACCCCATGGGGCAGTGCCTAGAGGGCTCAAAGTGGGACATGAGAGCACAGGGCTGTGAGTGTCTCAAAGGGACAGAGGGAGTGAAAATAGCACAGCCTCGCACCACTCCAGAGCATAAAGCAGATAAAAAGCTCATAGCCCTGCCCCAGGTGCCTCTAGAGCCACAACACAGGCATGAGGTTTGATATTTGTTGTTAACTCACAGACTTTACTCATAGTTGGGGTACTGAGAATGAAGTTTTTTAGGGGAAACAGGTCAGAGAGTCGGGAGGCAAAGAATATCATCCAATGCAAATCCAAGGTTTTTGTCCAGCAGTCCCAAGGCACAATTCTTTAATTAGTCCAGGCTCTGCTTTCAGTTCAGCAAAACAAATTCAAGAAACCTCTGGTTTCCTAATCATCCAGCAAGGTTTGCCTGAGAGCAGTCATACGGCAGTTTCTCCTTAATTACCTGGCATGCATAGCAAAACTTTTAACTATGGCCTTTATAGCAGGGCTCCTCTGGTTACACCTTGCCACAGTCTCTCGACTACCATTACCAGGGTCTAGCCACCAGGGTCTGACTCTAGTCTTTCTCAAGTCTTACTGTTCAGTGTGGGAAACCCTCAGGATAAACTTCTGAAAAAAAATGCCATTAAAGACCCTAACAAACCGAACCCTGAAAAACATGACATAAACAGATATATCCTTATTTACTGCAGCATTATTTACAACAGCAGAGAGAGAGAAGCAACTCAAGTGTCCATCAATGGATGAATAAACAAACTATGGTACATATACGCACAACTAAATATGCTACATGAAAAAATGGCAAGTTGTGCCAAGAAATCTGGAGGACAACCACCTAGCCAACTGTCTGAAAGAGGTCTATCTCTGCCCCCATTCCAAAGAAAGGTGATTGACAGTGTGCAGAAATTATCGAACAATATCATTAATATCACATGCTAGCAAGATTCTGCTGAAAATTACCCAGAAATGACTGGAACAGCACATCAACAGAGAACTACCACATGTGCACGCTGGGTTTAGAAGAGGCCATGGTACTAGGAATATAATAGCTAACATTAGATGGATCTTGGCTGAAAGCAGGGATTATCAGAGGAATGTCTGTTTCATTGACTTATGCAAGGCATTTGACTGTGTGGATCTTAAGAAACTGTGGCTAACTCTAACAAAAATGGTAATCCTAAAACACTTGATGGTGCTTATGTGAAACCTATATGTGGACCAGGAGGCAATCTTCAAAATAGAGCAAGGAAACACTGCATCGTGCAAAACTGGAAAGGATGTACACCAGGGATGTTTCCCATCTCCATACCTTTTCAATTTATGCAGAACAGATCATCTGGGAGGCTGGGCTCTATAAGGAGAAATGTGGCATCAGGATTGGAGGAAGACTCATCAAAAACCTACTTATGCAGATGACACAACCCTGCTTGCTCAAACTGAGGAGGACCTGAAGTGCTTGCTGTAGAAGGTCATGGACTGCAGCCTTAATATGGACTCAAGCTCACCATTAAAAAAACATAGTTTCTCACCACTGGGTCAACTGGCAGCATCATGACAGATAGTGAGGAGATTAAGACTGTTAACAGCTTTAGTTTGCTTGGCTCCACAACCAGCAGCCAGGAAATTAAAAGACGAATTGCAGTGGGAAAGTCTGCTGTCAGAGACCTCTCCAAATTACTGGAAGAGCAACGAGGCCCACCTGATCCAGGCCATGGTCTTCACAATTACTTGCTATGCATCAGAAAGCTGAACAATGACTAGGGATGAGAGAAGGAGAACTGATGCCTTTGAGCTGCAGTGCTGGAGAAGAGTACTGAATATACCATGGACTACTAGGAGAGCAAACAGGTTCACCCTAGAGAGGCTGAGACCAGGCTACTCCTTGGAAGCAAGGATTCTGAAGCTTCATCTGCCATACTCTGGACATGTTGCAAGGAGGGACCAGTGCATGGACAGGGACGTCATGTTTGTAAGGGTGAAGGAACAGTGTAGGATAGGAAGACCCTGATGAGATGGATTGATTCAGTGACTGGTGATATGAGGGTAGGTGTGTCGGAGACGGAGACAATAAGATTGGAATAGGACAGAGCAGGGTTTAGGGCTGTTGTACATAGGGTCACTATGAGGCTATGAGTTGCAGGTGACTTGACAGCAAATAACAACAATTTACTAGAGGATATATAAGCAAACACGCAAAGCAAATAGTCATGGACATTCAAACAGGACTCCACTCATGACCATACAAAGGTTTGACTGATGCTATTTCTACATTCATACTGGTAAATCTATCCATGCACATAGCAGAGCCTAAAAGGTACAAAAGCATGCAAACTTCCTAAGTATAAACAAAATTCTCTGAGGGAATGAGTGCTGGTCTTAGGGCCTGGGGCAGTAGTCTGAAGGGACATCAAGGTCAACTGGCATAATCCAGTCCACAAAGGTTCTCCATCTTCCTCTTTGGTGGGCAGTGCCTCGAGTCTTAAAAGCTTATTAGCAGCAAAAACTGGTCTCTCCTTGCCCAGAACAAAGAAGAGGGAAGAAAATCAAGATGTAAAGAAATAATTAGTCCAAAGGACTAATGAGCCTGGGAGCCTCAACCTCCATAACCCTAAAAGGCCTAGATGGTACTCAGCTACTTCTGGAGACCACTTGAAAATGCATCAGAGCACAAGGTCCTGGATACAGTGGGTGAAAGAAGTGGAATAAGAGTCAAAGACACAAAAAAGGCCAGGGTATTACTGGTCTGATACAAATGGTCAGAGTTCTGAAACTATGGCTTAGTTACCCTTGGAACCCAGAATAAAACTCATTTGCATGGCTCAACTTGCAGCTAAACAACAGGCTCGTGTGGTGAACAGTGACACCAGGAAGGCACTGACTCCATAGAACAAGCTGTCATATAAGACAGCTCTGGTAATCTAGTGGGGAGATGCGCTCCTAATGCAAAAGCACTATTTGTTTCCCCCTGCCACTCCATAGGAGAGATCAAAAGGGAAGCACATGCCACAGGATAAAGTTCAAAAAACTGCAAGGGGAAGGATAGAAGAGTTCATGGAAACCAGTATCGCAGGAGGAAATGGGCAAAGTTTGGCTAGATTGTGGAGGTTGTAATCAATGTTATAAAGCAAATGGTGTTTGAATGGTTGAATGGAAATTCAAGTAGCTTTATAAACTTTCACTTAAATCACAGTAAAAAAGGAAAAAAATGATAATGAAAAGACTGTCAGAGGAATAACAACTAACCCAGGTTTCATGAGCCTCCATATAACCACTCCAGCTTGCTGTCTTGTCGGCCCACAACTTCCCTTAAACTTGAGGCCAGGATTTCCCCATCACTGGCACTACTGGCATTTTGGGGCATGGTAATTCCTTGTTGTGGTAGCTGTCCTGTGCATGGAGGACATTCAGTAGCATCCATGGCCTCTTCCCATTAGATGCCAGTAGCAATCCCCTTCCTAGCTGTGAAAATAAAAAACTCTCTAGATATCAAATATCCCACAAGAGACAAAAGCACTACTCTGGACTAAAATAATATTTGCTAATTGCTCTGGTATACCAACTATTCCTGGGGCCTTATTTTTTGCGATATCCTTCAAAGCAGCCTGAACTTCTCCCCTCATCACCATAGGCTCTTGCTCATATGTTGTTTCATTAAATTCTTCTGTGTCTGCCAATTCCTTTTGGAATTGATGGTATACCAACTGACATATTTCGGCTAACAGATGCTGCCCTGGATATGCTCACCAAGTAGTGCCAAGAAATCTGGAGAACAACCACTTGGCCAACTGACTGGAAGAGATCTATATTTGTTCCCATCCCTAAGAAGGGTGACCCAACAAAGTGTGGAAACTACAGAACAATATCATTGATTTCACATGCAAGCAAGATTCTACTGAAGATTATCCAAAGACAACTGGAACAGCACATCAGCAGAGAACTGCCAGAAGTCCAGGCTGGGTTTAAAAGGGGTCGTGGTACTAGGGATATAGTAGCTGGTGTTAGATGGATCTTAGCTGAAAGCAGGGAATACAAGAAGAATGCATATCTGTGTTTCACTGACTATGCAAAGGCGTTTAACTGTGTGGATCATAACAAACTGTGGCTGACTCTGAGAAGAATGGGAATCCCAGAACAATTGACAGTGCTAATGAGAAACCTATACGTGAACCAAGAGGCAGTCGTCAGAACAGAGCAAGGAAACACTGCATGGTTCAAAATTGGGAAGGGTGTATGCCAGGGATGTGTCCTATCTCCACACCTTTTCAACCTGTATACAGAACAGATTATCCGGGAGGCTGGGCTCTATGAGGAGAAATGTGGAGTCAAGATTGGTGGAAGATTCATCAACAATCTGTGTTATGCAGATGACACAACTGTGCTTGCTGAAACTGAGGAGGACCTGATGCGCTTGCTGCAGAGGGTCAAGGACTGCAGTATCCAATATGGATTGAGGTCAATGTCAAGAAGACAAAGATTCTCACCACTGAGCCAATTGGCAGCATCAGGATGGATGGTGAAGAGACTGAATAGATTGTTCACAGCTTTCATTTTCTTGGCTCCATAGTCAACACTCTTGGCACCAGTAGCCAGGAAATTAAAAGACGTATTACCATGGGGAAGTCTGCTGTTAGGGACCTCTCCAAAGTACTGAAGAGCAATGGTGTCTCTCTGGAGACTAAGGTGAGTCTGATACACGCCATGGTCTTTGCTATCATTTGTTATGCATCAGAGAGTTGGACAATGACCAAGGAGGATAGAAGGAGAACTAATGCCTTTGAGCTGTGGTGCTGGAAAAGAGTATTGAGGGTACCATGGGCTGCTAGGAAAACAAACAGATTAATCCTGGAAAGGGTTAAATTGGGCCGCTCCTTGGAGGCAAGGATTCTGAGGCTCCATCTAACATACTTTGGACATGTTGTGAGGAGAGACCGGTCCTTAGAGAGGGACATCATGCTTGGAAGGGCTGGCGGGACAGCGCAGGAGAGGAAGGCCCTCTATGAGGTGGATTGATTCAGTGACTGGGATAATTGGGATGGGAGTGTCAGAGACAGTGCGATTGGCACAGGAAAGAGCAGAGTTTAGGGCTGTTGTACATAGTGTCACTATGAGTCGCAAACAACTCGATGGCACATAACAACAATTGCTCTGATGGCCTAGAGGGTAAGGAGTTATACTGCCAACTCAAGCACAGACAGTTTGAATCCACCAGCTGGTCTACAGAAGAAAGAGGGGCAATGTCCTAGACAGCTTCTGAAAACCCACTGGAAGGCCGGCTATAGATTGGTTCTGAATCAATGGCAATGAAAAACAAAACAAAATAAAAATAACCAAAAAGACCAATAGGTTCAAAAGGCAAAATACATACTGGTAAAAATCAGAGCCTTTAAAGAAGAACAGGATACGTTTGGCATGTAATGATTAATCTAGAAAGCTTGACTAAATTCTGCATTTGTGTGACAGATCCAGAGGATACGAGTAATAAAGTAGTTTGGCATTCCAACAGAACATTAAGTAAAATTCTAGAATACTTGCTCTAGTGAAAACATCTTAAAGGCCTTGAGTACTCAGAAAATATTCAGACACTAGAAAAGAACTATTACTTTGTATGTATTTAAAAAACAGTGAAAGATACAGAAAAAGAGTAAATGTAATAATTTAATGGAACACAAGGAAAAACCATTAAATAAAGGGAAGGGGTGTAATTTGTGGCAATATTAGGAAGGAAAGTAAGTGGAAAAAAAAAGAAATTTAAATATTAAGTCTAGCTAAACAGACTATCGCCAGAAAGGATTAGGATTTCACTTCTGAAATTTCTTACCACAGATTTCTCTTCTCTCAGTAGTAAAACACTCCAGCTTTAGAAAGTTAGTCTCACTCCATACACAGTCCTGGTAACTTTCCATTCATCTAGATATGTTCTCTGATGGTGTAGTGTTAAGAGTTTATTGTTCGAAATGACTTCCCTTTGACTTTGCTATGCAACAAATAGGGTGTGCTGCTCAGTGGGACTGGCTAGTTTCACTATTAAACTGAATGGACCCAACAACAGAACAGGAGAACTTCACCATCAGAAAAGTAGGAGCAAGATATTACAACACATTCTCTGAGATCAAAGATTCTTGGGCCAGTGAGATCAGGGTTTGTGGAAGCAGCAACCAGAGCAGCTGCAGCAGAGACCCAGAGACCTGAGACAGAGTAGACCCGGGACTGCTATGCCCTTGAACCAAAGTTAGAGAGCCTTTCGACCAAGTCTGCTGGAGGACAGGGAGTGGGATGGAGGGCGGGAGAGCCATAAGTGGTAGGACCAAGAGCACATGGGCCTAAAGCTAGGAGGCTCAAAGGTCAGGCACCTGCGAGCACATTTCAGAAGCTGTCTTGACTATATTCTGCTACTGACTTGAATTATACAGCCTTTTGACTTTTCTAATATGGTTCTGTGGAGTCAGTGAACTGTCGCATCAGATTCTGGACCCATTAAAGCAGTAAGTTTAGTGTTGGGATGGGCAAAATGATGTGGTAGCATGGGGGACCTGTCTGACCTCACGGGAACTGGTTTTGTGTTGCTGATGACAGGGACAGTGCCCCATGTGGAGTTGGTTAAAGTCAGACATGCTCCATGTGGCATTTGCTCTTATTTGACAGATAGTGAGATAGAATAATCATCTAAATGATAAATGAAAGTTAATAAGGGCAAGAATCATTATTCATGTTCCCCTCATAAAAGGTAGTACAAATGTAGGATGGAGAGATGAGATGAGATGAGATGAGATATGAGATGAGATAGTCAACAGAGTGCAGATACAACCTTTTTCGAATTGGGGCCATGTGTCGCAGGTTTCCAAGTAAAGGCTGCTCTTCCAGCGTCCAACACTCTATGAGCTCATGAGGGACCCGCCAGTAGCTAACACCTAGAAGAGAAAAAGACATATAGGCCACCTCAGGTTACAAACACCCAACTCAGAAACCACTTCTTCTTGTCCTTTAATGTTTTGTCAATTTGCCCTCATTTGAAACAAGTGAACCCCTAATTTAACCTTCACTTACTACACATAGTTTTTAAATCACTGGAAAGGTTCAGGCCTTTCTTGCATAGAAACCAAAACTAAACAAATCCAGTGCCATCGAGGGGCTTTGGCTCCTCGTGACCCTTGGCCCCACAGGGTTCTAAGTCTTCCTGGAAACGGACTGCCGCATCATCCCCCTCACAGTCACTGACGGGTTTGAACCACAGTTCTTTGCTTAGGTGCTGAATGCTGAGCATCGCCGGAGTGGGTAAGAATCAGAAGCACCTGTTCTGACTTAGAAATTCGACTCAAAGACACACTTAAGAGCTGAGCTCATTCATAACCGGGGACTGCCTGTAATTAAGAGAGCCACCGGCTGCTGCAAAATGTTCAGCAACATTGTTTCACAAAGACTGGGCAGAGTGTGGGGTTCACACCCCCCATGTGGCATAGACAAGAAGCACTGGCACTAAGTGACAGTGCAGTGGGGTGGCACGCCTCAAGACCTGAGTCTAGGAAGAGCTGGACTCCAGTCCTGGCCCTGCCACTTACTAGCTGAGAAAACCAGCGGGTCACTCTATCTTCCTTGGACGTCTGAGTGTGCTGGACAAGAGCAGGGGTTCACAGGCCAAGAATGCCCGAACCCAGAACCTACTGCTAATCCGTGACCTTGGGAAAGTTGCTTCCTCTGCCCAATGTTCTTCTCTATGAAATGATGATAATAGTACAAATTGTTGCAGGACTATTGTGAGGATTAAATGCTTAACAAATGCTTAGATTAGGGCCTGGCCCAGGCTAAGCATTCGCTAAAGGCCAGGTGGCTTCACAATAAGCTTTGATGTTAGAGCCCTCATGGCAAAGCTGTTAAAGAATTGGACTGCTAACCAAAAAGTCAGCAGACCCAACAATGGGACAAAGATGAGGCAGGCTGCTTCCATAAAAACCGCACAGCCCTGGAAACCATACAGGCAGTTCTCCTCTGCCCACAGCGTCACAACGGCTGAGGCCTGGGTTTGGGCTTTCGGGTGTTAGCGCAGCAGTGGTGGTGCGTGGAACCTGTGAGAGCTGCAACGCACACCATGCTTGTCCAGGTCTTGCAAGTTTTCCACCTTTAACAGTCTTACCACTTCTCTATTGCTCTTTTCAGTAGGGAAATATTTGACTTTTCCTTCTCTGGCATGTTTTCAATTTTTTTAGAGGTTCCGGCCTTTGTAGGCTCTAATGCAACAGTATTGTGCAGTGGGGTTTATTATGACACATACTTACCCCATCTACCTCACTGGCGTCCCAGGACCACCTAACAATTGCTGTGAACCACTATATAAACAGTAACTGCGATACAAATATGAGATTTCACTATTCAACATGCATATTTTCAAACAAAAACTAATAATCCCAGTGAATATATTAACACCAAAATCCTAGTCAAGCTCTTTTTTAGTTTTTAAATTTGTTATGTTTCTGATTAAAAGCCAAAACTATAATCTATAAACCTCGAAAACATGTTAAGCGAAAGAAAATGGACGCAAAAAGTCACATATTGTGTGAGGGATTCTATTTCAACAAAACACACAGAACAGGTAAGCCTACAGAGACAGAGAAAGCAGACCGGCGGGTGGCTGTGGGGAGCACTTGTTTACTGGGTGTCCTTTAAGGGTAGGAAAAGGTTGCTAAAACTAGGCAAAGGTGAAGGGGCTGTAACACTGTCAGTGTGCTAAATGCTGCCAAACTATACATTTTTAAATGGTTAAAAATTTCTATGCGAATTTCACCTCAAGTGAAAAACTACAGATGTAAGCCTTTTTTATAATAATGTTATAAATGCATGGTATCACTCAGTATAAGTTTTATTTTTTAGGGTTTTTTAAAAATAATTTTTCAAATTGTGATTTTAACAAAAGTTTACAGAAAAGTTGGATTTTCATTCATTCATTATTGTACATTTTTATCACATCCCCCAGTTCACCCTTAAAATAAAATTTTCATTTATTGTTGTATGATTGCCTTCCTCCCTCTCACCTCTCCCCGGGCCCACTTTACTATGCACCTCTTATTCTGGACTATTGTAATACAAATAATGCCTAATCATATATTCCATTTAAATAGTTCATAGGAATGTTTTCAGAAGTATTGATGCCTTTGAATTGTGGTGCCAGAAAAGAGTGTTGAACATACCATGGACTGCCAGGTGAACAAACAGGTCTGTCCTGAAGAGGGTGAAATTAAGCTACTCCTTGGAGGCAAGGATTCTGAAGTGCCCTCTCACATACTTTGAGCATGTGGACAGAAGGGACCAGTCCTTGGAGAAGGATATCATGCTCAGATGGGTGGAGGGACAGAACAGGAGAAGACCCAGGATGAGATGGATTGACTCAGTGACTGGAGAACTGGAATTAGGTCTGTTGAAGACGATGAGATTGGCTCAGGATAGGGCAGAGTTCAGAGCTAATGTACATATGGTTGCTGAGTTACAGGTGATTCCATGGCATATAACAACAAAGCTCAGACTGGCAAGGAAACAAAAGAAAGCCTTATATAAAACTTCAAGTTTCGGACTTAAAGTTTATATTACCTGTGTAGCTCAAGAGACCACAGTTAAGATATTTACTCAAATGCCTCTAGGTTGGTAGTATACATCTATCTTGTAGAAAACGAATTGCCTCTAGAAGAGATATCCTCAATTCAAGTCTCTCAGGATGCCCAGATATAAGGTGCAAACATACATCTTGTAAGTTTCAAGAATAGACTTGGCATCTTTTTATCACTAAACTTCTGACAATAATAATCATCAATTTAGCAAGCTGCACATGTTGTCATTAGGTGACATCAAGTTGCCTATGACTGAGTGACCCTCTGATCACAAACCTTGCCCTATCCTGTGCCATCCTCATCATCTCTGATATACTTGAGTCGACTGTTACAGTCACTGTGTTAATCCCTCCTGTTGAGGGTCTTCCTCTCTTTCACTGACCTCTCCAAGTCTCTATTAATAATATGTCCAAAATATGTGAGAGAAAATTTCACCATCCTTGACTCCAAAGAGCACCCTGGCTACACTTTCTCCAAGACTTATTTATTTGTTCTTTTGATAGGCCATGGGATATACAGTAATTTCCAACCACAATTCAAAGGCATCAATCCATTCTTCTGTCAGCCTTGGTTACTACTAACTTTCAGATGCATAAAAATTAAGTGAAACGACTGTGGCCTGAATCAGATGCACGATGCATCTGACATCATGTTGTTTTTTTTAAAAAAAGTTCAATCAATTTTCACTTCTATCAGAAATGCAAAAGACAGTTCTCATTATAATGAGAGTGGATCTCCCTCCACGTTGATTTTCCTTAGAATTTTCTATACATAAATTTATGCATTTTTTTGTAGTTGATTTTATAATCAAATTAAATCCTCTCTATAATAAGGACATTAACTTCTTGTCCAGTTAATTGTTTTATATTACTCTTTTAATTTGGTGTATAGTTTTTAAAATATCTTAAAAGTTCTTCAAGGTTTAAACAGTATGTAACCAACTTTATCTTTTAGGCTTATAATTTCTTTCCCTCTAAGAAATCAATTAACCTGCTTAAATTTCCCGTTAGTGTATTAGCTTCCTTTTTCATCCATTAATCCACCTGGAATGATTTTGATAAATGGTGTGAGGTTAACGTCTTAGCTTTCCTCCCATGTAGTTAGTGTATTTCTCAATTGCTTATTTGATCGTTGTTGTTGCTGTTATTACCTTCGAGTTGAGCACACACGACTCAAAACAACTCTATGAACAAAAGGCTTGAAGTCCCTCTACAACTATCGACATTTATCAAAATTCACAGGGTTTCCGGAAGCATGTTATTTAGGAAGTGGATGCCACTCCTGCTTCCAAACCTGTCATAGTATGTTACTGTTTTTTATGCCATTGAGTCGCTTGTGATGTATAGTGACCCTATGATTTTTAAAATATCTTAAAGTTCTACATAGTTCATGCTTTACTACATAGTATTTTTAGTGTTAAAACTCTATTGAGGCCTACACTTGACCTCTGCGTCTATTCTTCTATTCTTGCACCAGTAACAGATGATCTTTTTTTTTTTGCTATCAAATAGAGCTAGACAAATGTCCCTATATACTTTTATTTCCCAAAATATACTTGGTTATTTTATTCTTTCAGAGGAGTTCTGGAATCATTTCCTCAAGATTCTCAGAGTTCTGCTGATATTTTTGTGGAAGCTATGTTATAGATAGGGAACTTATAATTTAATATGTGGAGAACTGACATGTTTATAATAATTAAATTCCTCATTCAGAACCGTTGTATGACCATACCAAGTCTTCTTTTTAAACAGATAGACACACAGACAGGTGGATGGACAGACAGATGGATGAACAGATACAAGTATGTCAGGAAGGAAGGATGGATGAACACATTTCAAAGTTTTCTTCAAAAAAGCCACTAATGTTTCCTACTGGGGCTATCCTAGTTTTCTTTTTCAGTATTACTATCACAAATGCGACTTCACCTATAATTTCCAACTGTAGGCTATTAATTTTAAAATATTTGCATTGTATCCAACTAGCCTACTAAGTTCATCATTTAAAATACTTTTAGTTGATTCTCTTGGGTTTTCTAAAAAGACATTGTCCTCAAATAACAAAGACTCCTCTTCTTTCAGTAATTCTTTCTGAAGAATGTTCTGTCTCCTGTTTTATGGCTTTCTACAGTACTTCTAGTAACAGTGATGCTTTGTTACATGTTTTCTAAAACTTAAAATCAGTGCATGCTTTGTAAGGCAGAGAGGCCAGCTCTTCACTTTGGGCCCTTCAGTCAGTGAAGGAAGAGCCACAGCTGCTTCCTCAGGAGGACTCCAGGGCATCCTGCCACCCAAGGCACAGAGGCACGAGCAAAGGTACACCCACAGGCACACCCAGAGAGCACCAGGGTTCTGGTTGTCCTCCTTGAACTTAAGTGTCTTAGAGGAAATCTAGAATACTAAGCTTAAAGAGCACATTGCTTCTTTCACTACTAGGCTTGTTCCTGCCTGTTCACAGGCTATGATAGCGAAGGGGGAAGGAGGAAAACTCAGAGGGCAAAGCTGACTAAAGAGAGCACTGGTGCTAGCACCCATCTGCAGGAAGTCAGCCGGCATGGAGTCTGTCAAAGGCCTTTCCCTCAAACATCTGTTCATTCCCACGACTTGCAATGTTGACCTCTAGAAGCTTTCAAATAATTTGCAAACTGGGATGTGTTTTATTTCTCTCTAGATCTCATTTTTAAATGTAGAGCCATTTTCCATTAACAAGACTCAATACAAACAAACTTAAGCATAGAACAAGTTACTCCTATGATTGGTAAACAAGTGATGATATCTAAGACTCCTTTTCCCCATCTATAAAATAGGAACAGTGACTTTTTAGTTATTAAGTTTTAGGGCTGCTGTTGTTAGGTACTATCAAGCCAAATACGGCTAACAGTGCCCCTATGAGCAATCGATCTGAACGTTGCCCTATCCTGTGCCATCCCCATCATCTCTGATACCGAGCCCATTAATACAGTGTGTTAACCCATCTTGTTGAGGGTCTTCCTCTCTTTCACAGACCCTCCACTTTTGCAAGCACCACGTCCTTTTCCAAGGACCAGCCCCTCCTAATAACATGCTCAAATTATGTGAGATGAAGCTACACCATCTTTGCCTCCAGGGAGCACCCTGGCTGTACTTTCTCCGAGACTGATTTATTTGTTCTTCTGCCAGTCTACGGGATATTCAGGACTTTTCTCCAACCACAACTCAAAAGCATTGATTCTTTTTCTATCATCTTTAGTCACTGCCCAACTTTCAAATGCACAACAAGTAAGTGAAAAGACCATGGCCTAAAACAGACACACCTTAGTCTCTAAACTGACATCATTGTTCCTTAACACCCTGGAGAGGTCCTTGGTAGCTAGGGCTAAGAGATTTGAAATGTAAACCATCACACTGGATATTAAAGGTCAATATTATTATGAACTCAGATAAAAGCAGCTTAGTAAAATGATCAGTTTTCAAAGCAGGCATCTAAAGGTATCTTAACCATCTTTCTATAAACTTTTGTTAAATAAAAATTTTTTAAAATCTATCTCAAAACAACTATGAGATATCATCTCACCCCAGTCAGAACAGCAAAATTTAACAGAATAGCAAGCAACAAATGATGGCGAGATTGTGGAGAAACTGGAACACTTATTCACTGTTGGTGGAAGTGTAAAATGATGCAACCACTGTGGAAGGTGGTATAGTGCTTTCTCAAAAAGTTGCAAATAGAGATACCATTTGACCCAGCAATTCCAATACTGGGAATATACCCTAAAGACACCATAACTGAAAGAGATACCATTTGACCCAGCAATTCCAATACTGGGAATATAACTAAAGACACCATAACTGACATCCAAGCAGATATATGCACACCCATGTTTTTTGTGGCTTTGTTCACAATAGCAAAGAGTTGAAAACAACTTAAGTGCCCATCAACAAACCAATGAATAGAGAAGCTCTGGTATATTCACACAATGGAATATTATGCTGCATTGAAAAACAAGGAACTCATGCAATATTATTCAAAATTGGTGACTCTGGAGGACATTATGCTGAGTGAAATATCTCAGTAACAAAAGGACAAATACTGTGTGGTGCCACTGTTGTAGAATGGGACTGATATCAGGGTTGGGGTAAGACTGAGAAAAACTGGATAAATTATGTATACTGCATTGAAACAGATGAGGGAGAGAATAATTTAAAAGTGGTATATGATAGGGT